GTGATGGCAAACAGAGAGCTACACTGCAACCCAAAACCCACTTATTTATTGCAAAGTACCAAGGCAGCAATTAAACTTGAACACTGAGGCTTTGGTTTAGAAGAAAACAGCTCATACATTAACATCTTTTGTCTTGAAAGAAAAACACAATAACATGCATGCCATAGGTTTTCCCCGACTGCCTTAAAGTGCCCTCAGAGATTCTGATTTTGAATGTCTGGGATGGAGTCTAAAATTGCACTTCTTAACTAGTTCTCCAGAGATATTAATGCTGCTGGCCTGGGACCATACTTTGAGAACTGCCGGAAATCTGGCTGGGCATTAAAATTACTCGGAGAAAAAAAAAAAAATAACTCGGAGGACCTCTAAAAGTACCCAGCAGTTGGATCAGAAAATCTCTGTCGGGGGATCCTGAGCTTAGAATGTTTTCGAAGCAACCCAGAGTATTATTGATGTGTAGCCAGAGTTGATAATCTCTGTCCTGGGCTAAGCTTCATCATGTGGCTGCCTTCAAAAATCATGTTATCAAAGCAGTTAGCAGGTGCTATAGGCCAGCATCTTGGAGGCCCTTTTGGCTGTCCAAGCTCCTGGAAGTAAGAACCCAAGGTCTTGCATCCGGAGCCATCACTAGGCTATGGGCCCCAGCATCTTGAAGGCCCTTTTGGCTGTTCATGCTCCTCGGAGTGGAAGTGAGACTTTAGGTCTTACAAGTGCACCAGAAATCCTTTTCAATTGTGGCTTGTGGGCTGCGTATTGTGATTAGCTGGGCTGTGTTGAATAGTAGGTGCCTGGGCCCAGTGTCTGGCCAGCCCACGGTGAAGGGTGACGTCCACTTAGTCAGTGTAGAGCAGTTTCTGGGAGGGTTTGGAGTCTGCTAACTGCAAGGTTGCAAAAGGAAGGCAGGGAGTTTTTCTCTGCTCGATAAAAGGACAGCTGGAGTCCATACAGGTTCACATTGTGTTCTGGCATTTGATAGCTAGTCTGTTCCCACTGGCAGACAATGAATTCTTTCAGATTTTTAAGGGAAAGTGAGGAAATATTTCGTATTGCTTTCTTCAACATTTTCTCATTGGAGCACCTCCAAAAATCAGTTCTGGGATGATCGAATGATCTGCATTTTTATAGGTGAATACATAGAAGCCCGAAGAAGTTAGGTGAATTTCCCAAGGTCACAAGATAAGTTATGGCAGAGCTATGATTCGAACTGCAAAAGTGAGGGCCTCTGCCCCCTCAGCAGTGTTGCAAAATGCCTCTGGTGCTTCAGACTCTACACATACTATGCAGAATCAGCTGTAGAATTTTTGAGGCCCAGCGAAAAATGAACACATGGGGCCTCTTACTTAGAAATTATTAAGAATTCAAGATGGCAGCAGCAGAATATTAAGCCAAACTAAGGACCCTGAGCATAGGTCATGCCTATGAAGCCAGTCTTGACTTGATATGTTAATCACCACCAAAACTCCTGATCAGATAAGAAGGTCTGCTCAGAGGCAGCCGGTGGGCTGCTAGGAACCCCACGTCTGAGCACAAGAATACTGGATTCTAGTAATAGCCCTTCAGATGACTTCCTGTTGACCTTTGGTGCATTGTCTAATTTCTTGTAGCTTCAGTTTACTTCTTTGTAAAATCAAGAAGGGGAAGGGTTGGTGATCACACCCGCATCTCCCCAGCTCTCCTTGTTTATATGCTTCCTTTTTAATATATTGGCTATGGACTGTGGCCCTCGCCCCCTGAGTTCTAATCTTGGCTCTGCTAGATTTTGGCTGCCTGTTCTTGGGCAAGTATCTCAGTTTCTTTATCTTTAAGATGGAGATTTTTTTTGAGGATTAAATAAGCAAATGGAACAAATTCAGTAAGTAAAGCCCTCAGAATAATAGCTGGTATATAGGTGCTATGTTAGTGTTAATTATTACTATAAATCATATGCCACCTATACTGATGTTTTAAAGAACGATTCACTTTTTAAATGAAAAAATCTATAGTTTCTTCCTAAGCAAAAATATTTGTGAAATCACCAGATTCATATATAGTTTTTCTAATACATTTGAAAATGTGCAACTATACAATATTCTAGAAAGTTCATTCAAATTTTCTTTCAAACCAGCTGAAATATCACTAGTGGAGTGAGCACCATCCTGTGGGTGACATTGTACTTGATTTGAAAGCCTCTCCAGCTTTGATAGTCTGTGAGTGAATGAATCAGCCCATTTATATTGAGGTCTACAGCTTAATTCTCGTCACAAATTCATGACTAAAATATTTTCACCCACTTCAGTCACTTCTACCCAGAATAGAATCTTTCCACTGGTGAGCTACGTGTTCCAGTGGACAGTGTTTAAACTGGCATGAGAGATTGTGAATAAATTCTAAAAATGGTGAAAATCTCAGAGAGTCAGTGGGGTCCTCTCAAGAAAGCCCCCTAAAGTCTAACAAGTGAAGTCTTCACTTAAAACAGTGAAGAACTGGGACACAGCATTCACAGAAAGCAAGAGTGACCCACAGAGGCATGGAATCTGTTGGAGACACCGTCTTTCCTCAGATGACTGTGTTTTTCTGCTTCTCTCTATCAAAACCTTACCTTATGGCCCCCATTCAGATTCTACTTCCTTGAAGATCTTTCTGGTTGTTTGACTTGTTTTTTTCTCTTTTCCTTTGAGAAGTACTTTGTACAACATAAGAGGCAGTTCCTGAGCCTATAGCATAGGTACCTGTTCTAGGCACAGAGGACAAGTGTTGAACCCCCACTTCTTTGGCCTCAAGCAGTCTCTGTCCCCTTGCCCAGGCTAGTTGATTCGCAGACATCTCTTTCCTGTCCTTTAGACAGGGGATACTTAATCTATTACTTGCCTAGTTATCAAAGTAATTAAGGATCCTCCTTAGCTAAGTATTGGTTATCAGAGAACCTGGGGTCACCAAGTTGTATCAGGTACATAAAACTACTCACTAAGGGCCGGGCATGGTGGCACATGCCTTTAATCCCAGCACTTGGGAGGCTGTGGCAGGAAGATTGCTGGAAGTTTGAGGCCAGCCTGGGCTACACAGTGAGTTCAAGTCCAGCCTGAATTAAATAGTAAGACCCTATCTCAGAAAAAACAAATAAACAAAAGATACTGACTCAGGAACTTTAAAATTAGTCTTGGCTTAGACATCCCTCTCGAGTTCTCACTGAATCAATCCCCAGCCATCTCATAAACATCAGCGATGGTCACAGATGGTAAAAATGTAAAGCAAATACAATATAAATTGATCACAAAGTAAGATTAGAAATCTTGGAAAAGATATAGGACTTCTTGAAGTCAACAAAAGTAAGTTTTGACAACTTCCACGCAGAAATCTGTAAACCACTGAGGATCAGAGTCACACAGTTATTAACGGCAGAGGAGAGAAAATCAGCAAGGCTGATGGCATGATGGGACTTTCCAAGAGGGTGATTGAATATCAGAGAATGCAGAAAGGACCTAGGGATGAAGGGCAAAACTCTTGGGTATGTTACAAAAGTCAGTATGAACTAAGGGGACGTAGAATAGTGCCGTGATATGATTTTGTCAGAAAAATAATGCCCCAAACTCCACAATTCATACTCTGTTCATTTATTTATTTTTGTTTTTTTTGTGACAGGGTCTCACCACGTAGTTGAGACTGTCCTGGAACTCACTATGTAGCCTAGGCTGGTCTTGAACTCACAGCAATCCTCTTGCCTCAGCCTCCCATGAATGCTGGGATTACAGGCATGCACCACCATGCCTGGCCAAATGTGACAAATGAGTTTTGTTTGTTCAGTACCAGGGATCAAACTTGTGACCTTGCGCTTGCGAAGCAGGTGGCGGAACCACTGAGCTAAATCCCTGGCCCTCTATACTCTGTTCATTTAAAAAGTAGAGCGTGATTATATTTTAGTTTTATCAAATGTGAGATAAATTAATTTCTTCATAATGTTTTGTTTCGCAATTTTTAATTTCCAAGACAGAATTCCAATCACCCCCTCCCCTTTAATAATATTGTTTGTGTTCCTTTTAAAAATGTGCATTCACTTTAAATCAACTTTTCTTGATCCTAATTATCCTCACATGAGAAGAAATTTCAATAACATAATTTGCAGTGAAATGATGGATTGATCAGTCATTTTACAAGAACCAATGCCCAAGAACATAACGGGCAGAAAGGGGACAGCTGTCTATTGATTCAAATGCAGAAAGCAAGGGTCCATAGAGCCAGCCAGTTTTCTTAAGAATGGAGCTGCATAGGCCAATTAGAAGGAAATGTTGGGATAAGTTTGATCAGCAGTAGTGTACACCCATGTCCCAGCTACCTGGTGCTAAGGCAGGAGGATTGCAACTTTGATCCCAGCCTAGGTAACTTAGCGAGACTTTGTCTCAAAATAAAAATAAAAAGGGCTGGGGATATATCTCAGTGGTAAAATGTTTCTGGTTCCATTCCTAGGATGACTAAGAGATGAAGAGGGAGGGAGAGAGGGAGGGAGGGAGGGAGGGAGACAGAGAGAGAGAGAGAGAGAGAGAGAGAGAGAGAGAGAGAGAGAGAGA